GAGGATTGCGATGAGAAAGAGATGTTCGCGGGGACTAAGCGATTATAGGCTGCGCCGTCGTCAGCCATGGCCGCGAACGACAGCGCATACAGCTCCCGGATTTGGCATCCATTGGAGAAGTAGCTTTAAATACATACGAAATTTTATTGAGTTCAATAGGCCTATTGAATTCAATAGGNNTAGGGCTGTCGGATTGAAGATTGAAGGTTGAAGATGTCACAGAAATCTTTTCCAAGGCATCTTCAACCTTCAATCCCACAGCGCTAATTGAATTCAATAGGCTTATTGAACTCAATAGGGTTCACAGATTGTGCGAAGAGAATTCCGGGGGCGGGGTTTGCGAGATCTTGCGCGACAGTTCCAACAGAATGTCGACAGTTACGGGAGCACCATCCCTGTGTCAGTTTGCTCGGCTGAGAGACCTGGCTTGGCTGCTGTGGAAGGGGGGGGCATACCATGTGGGGGGGGGGCACTGACGCGGCGACACGGGACCATATTTATGTTTGTATGTATGTATGTATGTATGTATGTATGTATGTATGTATGTATGTATGAGTATGTATGTATGTATGTATGTACGATGTATGTATGTGTGTGTGTGTATGTATGTATGTATGTATGTATGTATGTATGTATGTATGTATGTATGTATGTATGTATGTAGATATGTGTGTCTCCTGATGTCATCCATCCCCGCACACCTTTTCCACATACAGGTTGTATGCAAAAGTTGAAGATATCACCATCGTTTTGCCGTGAAACAGGACCATGCAACGTTGATTTCCCAATAGCTTGTCACCGCAAGGGAGCCAAATACGAGAAAGGCAAACCTTCGCACAACATCCAACATCACTTTCGCCGAAGTTGTCACATGAAGGCCGAAGGGTGGCACACAAAATTCAGACGCTTTTGCTGATGCAGCCGAGGCAGTCTCAGCTTGGCAGTTCTCCCGCGGCTGAGTCATCCTTCTTCGTCCCAGAAAGCAGCTTGGTGTCAGCTGAGCCCGGTGTGCACTTCCGAGTCAACTTGAGTTTTTTTGGTTACCGTTAGCCCAGCTGAAGCTGGATCAGATCGTTGATTGTGTGTGCGGCATCTGTTTGGTCATGAAGCTTGGCTGCTGCATCGCCAGGCACGCCCATCCGCAACTTCACAACTATCCTCGCATGGTGCTCAGTCTGTCAGCACTCGGCCACCAGTTGACTGGGAACTGCCCCCGGCCTGGCTACTGTGTTTACAGCCGAAATGTTCACGCGCATGCATTGTTCTCAATTCCATCTCACCCTTCATAGTCGCTGCGGTGATTTACAGAACACTTTGTCATTGCCCAGTTGCAATGACTGCCTTTTTTGCGGGGGCGTGACTTGTGTTGTGGGACCTATATACATGTTCCATCTGTGCCTTTCATGTGGCCTCGTGGCTGCGGCCATGGCAGATCGAAGAGGCCCTTGGCCCTATGGCCCTGTGGATGTATGGAGGCTGCATGCGAAGCCCAGCCTCAAAGAGCTGTTCGAGTGGCATGCCGTGGATGGACGCTTAGATGAGAGCGGCTTCACCCGACTGCTGCAGGTACAGCGAGAGTCAGATGGTTTTAAAAGCGATATATCAGACGTGTTCTCACGTATGCTTCAAGCCAAGATCTTCAATCTGAGTACAAATGCAACCCTGGAGTGGGAGGACTTCCTAATCCCGTACCAGTACGACTTTTTCCCAAACCGCAGAAGATGGTTTGCAGAGTTCACTCTGTGGAGCTGTCTGAAGGTTCGGAGGCAGACCTTGCCAAAGGGTTCTGTCCACTATCGTTATCTTCCCAGGACGGAGGCGAGGTTTATGGCAGCAGTCGGCCGCAGTATGGTGGAATGGTGTAACGATCATGTCATTGAGCCACCGCGCAAAGATGCCACAGGTGCTCCCGCCGCCACCACCACCACCGCGAGGTGGCTACCAAGAGGAGTCAAAGGCGCTGTCTGTCACAGCCATGCTGCCGCAAGGCTGCAAGATTTGGGGGGCCAAGCAAGCTACGGTGCGCTGTTCCTTTCCTAGGAAGAATCCGGGGCAAAGAGGCCGTTTGGCTGTCTTGGTGACTGGCATGAAGGATCGCTACTACCCTCGAAGCGCTTTCAAGCATGTGGTCGCGCCAGCAGCGCGGGAAGGCTACGAAGTAGATTATTTTGCGCTTTTGGATTGGAAGGTTTCGGTTGCTACCAACCGCATCACTGGAGAAGTCATCGGTGTCTTCAACCCGATGCATGCCGACAACACGCGCGAGAACAGATCCGTACCAAGCCCCCAATTTGCCAATGCCAGCGTGCGACAAGGTCTCAGCTTGGTCACTCGGCTCGCACGCGCCTCCGGTGCAAGCTTCCTATACCTTCAGTTCCTGCATCGTGGTCTGCAGGAAGATCCTCCGCTGCACGGTTGCAACCGCTACCTTGGCCGGGGGAGTGCTGAGGTCATGGACTACAGCAGGACCCGATTTACCTACAAAAATGTTGAGTTTTTATGGAACCTCACACTGGAAAGGTCGAAGCGAGAAGGCGCGACGGCCTACACCCATGTGCTTTGGCAGCGAGAGGACGCACATTGGGTCGACGACTTGCGTCTGGAACTCTTCCGGGATCCTTCTGGCATTTCCGCGAACGGCGTCTGCAATGCTGTTCCGAACTTCCCCACAGAAAGCTACATCTCCGACAAAGTCTTCCTAGTGGGCGGAGTAGCCGCGATGTCTTTTTTCAAACTGTACGATCTGGTGAACTGCGGGAATCCAAGCCGTGAGCTGAGCCAAGTAGAGAGGCCGGAGCAATTCATCGTTGAGGCCACTCAGGCCCTGGACTTAAAGTTCCACGAGTTGCCATGGAACTCCTTGCCGGTCATCATCGGTCGACACATGAAGATCTATGGCTATGCAGATATTGCGGTGGTCTTCTGCTTGAAGTTCTCGCGATCCTGTCTCTTTCGTCCCAGCGGATCCCGCGTTGCTGCCAGCATCGTTCCGTACCGAGGTTGCGAGGAAGTCTCAAGGGGTTTGCACGACCGTCCAAAAGCAGAACTCTCTGCCCCGTGGTTTCATCCTACAAGCGCGACTCTGTGTTGAGCTGCTCTGTTGATGGGGAGCAGGAGCTTTTTCAAGCATGCTGCAATTCCAAGTCTACGGAGTTTGCTAGGTGTAGTCGGGATTGAGGTAGGTCTCGTGGGTTGAGACACGATCCGTTGCGATGTGTACCGGTTATAAAGTAGATACACGCAGATCATGGCAAGTCCAAATGAGAAGGCCCTAGGGGCCTGAATGCTCAGTGTTTGCTGCGTCAATCTGTGCAGCAGTGGTTCGAAACTTACGCGTTAGGCTGTGCTGTAGATGTATATGTATAGGTATAGGTATAGGAATAGGTGTATATGTATGTGTATGTATATGTATATGTATACAGAGGAGGAGGTTATGGGGCCTTCGCTTTTGCAACCCACTGTTTTAAGTGGTTTTGCATGTTTCTAGTCTGTTCATGGTTCTTGTGGTGCGTGAGAGTGCGTGTTTCTGTGTCCAGCTCCAACATCAACTTTGAGTTGTTGCAAACCACGTGGTCTGTAAGTAAACACAGTGTTTGTTTATGAGCGTGCTTTCACAGTTTTCAAGCTTTTGGATCGGTTCAACGGGCATGGCCTTCGCAGCTACGCATGACATCTGGCCGGGTGGATGGTTTCGCGGACACAGAAACATTCAAAAGCATGTGCGTTTTCATGCTGCAGGTCTTCGCTACGTCTTCCAACATGACTCAATCGACGCCGACATCCGTGAATGTCACAGATCGGGATGAGAGCGTGTCTGCCTGAGCTTCTTTGTTTCCGGGCTGGAACTGTGTTTCGCACCAACAGTGCGCACTCATACTGGGAGATGACGCTTGCTGAATGTGTCGTGTGTTAGTTCAGTGCACGCCAGTGCTTTTCACAACCTGTCGCAGCTTTTCTGGTTATTCCCAGCTTCTGCGTGCGTGTTCCGCATCATGTGTTTCACTGACCGGCCTTCAGCCGCAAGTTTGACTGCGAAATCGCATGTCTACAGTGTCTGCCAACAGGTTTCCAACCTCAGATTCGAGGACTACGATCTGGATAGCTTGGACATAGGCGGTGGAGTGCGCTTCTTAGCATCGACACGTTGCGTTGCATACGGCTCGTCTTATTCGCAAAGATGTCAAACCAACAGCAAGCATCAGCCAGAAATGTACAGATGCGAATCGACGACCGTTTTTTATGTTTCGAACCTGCTTGTCAGACTGTCCAGCCAGCCTTTCCTCTGATCCCTTTTCTGTAGACGCTGTGGTTCAAGTGGCACACAGACTACTCTGGTACCCGAGTCCAGCCGTGTATGCAGTGATCAGGCCAGAAGTGAGGGGAGGAACCCCTTCATGCAGTTGGTGGTTTGTTTGCTGTCCTGCTCTGCAGCTGAAGCCCCGGCAATGCCCACGTGAGTGAACGGCCTGGTCGGGGGGGGGGGCCCGAGCAGAAAAAAGGCACCCCCCCGCACCCACGCGCAGCGTGTTGTTTTTTGCTGTTGGAGTTTTTTGCTGTTTGTGAGTTTTTTTGCTGTTTGTGCAGGGGGTGTGTTTTGGTTGCTGCGTGGGGGTGTTTGTTTTTGCTGTTGGTGCCGAAGGGGTGCTTGGCAAGAAAACACGCCCCCTCGCACCCACGGCAAAAAAACACCCCCCAGCATCCACAGCGTGTGTGGTGGTGCTGTTTTGCTGTTTGGTTGCAGCGCCGGGGGGCGGGGTTTGGCTGCTGGTGCGGGAGGTTTTCTTGTTGCTGTTGGTGTGCAGGGGTGTTTAGCAAAAAAGCACCGCCCCCGCGCCAACAGCAAAAAACAACATCCCTTCCTGCACCACCAGCAAAAAAGCTACACCCCCCGCAACAGCAAAAGAACACCCCCCCGCAGACACTCACCCGCATCAGCAGCAAAATGCACCAGCAGCAAACTACAACACTCTTACCCTCTTCAGACATCAGGGTCCGGAGAGATGAGGGCCGCTATTTTCAGGGGCTAGCGGCTAGTGACACCCTCGCCGATGAGTCAGGTGAACTGGACTGCTCCGGATCCTCTGGAGGGAACGAAGTTCTACTCCATCCAGCTGGAGTGGGCCCACAGCCCAGACGTTTTAGCCAAGATCGAAGGACGACCGAGTGCGATTTTTAGGTTTACTTGTGTGGCCATGCTAGGCGCAAGGCGCTTTTTGGATTCACGCGCTGGTGATTATGATGCTGATGAGGATGATGGTGGTGATGGGGATATATGAGGTTAATATAAGATTAATGTTGCCGTTTTCTGTTAATGTTAATGTTGATAATGATGACCATGGCAACTCGTGAACTAGAGTATGCCATCGATGCTGTTGTTGATGCTGACAATCACTGCGCTTACAGTAGTAACCAGTAGTGACGGCCTTAAGGTGGAGGAAAAACGATGTGTACACGGACGACGACAGTGACGATGTCACATGTCGTGGCAATTGTGATGGCCAGATGATGGTGATGATGATGACGACGACAACAGTGACGATGTGGTATGCAGCTGATGATGTTGACGGTGACACCGATGAATACGAGCACGATGACGGAGACGATGATGGCAACGGTGGTTCAATCGCGACGAGTATGATGCCGACTGGCGTTGTTGCACTTGTGGTGCGACCGCTACTTTTCATGTCGACTTACTGCCATCTTCAGTTCATTTATCGTCATTCACGGTGTCTCTGCCCAGGATCGAACCTTCGAATACCGGAGCGTCATCGCCGAGGTTCCTGTGGGAGAGGTGGACTACCAAATCCCTGTGGCACCTGGCCTGGCTGGAAGGGGGCATTGTGTTCCATATTCGACTATTAGGGCTGTGATTGGGCAGTGTAAGCGAAAGCAAACAAGGAACGGATGCACAGGGGTTTGTGCTGGACGCTGTGAGTGCATCGAACTCTTTGGATCGAGTGTTGTGTGTGTTGTAGCTTCTCTATGATATGGGCACTTGGGCCACTTGGGAGGGACTCATAATCCATCGGTTAAGAATGCCTCCGCGTCCAAGGACACTTATCTTGGCACCTACCCTTACCTTTACGTGTTCACCAAGCCTCTTGCAAGCACTGGCTTGCTGTGCATGCCGTGATGTTTAGCAGGGGGAGTTCCGACCAGTCGTTCAGTTTGAGGAGCACTTGTTTTTTGGAGATCGGTTTGCAGGAAAGCATGTCGAGGTCCTCGCTCTTTGAGCAGACGACCCCGGTGGGCTTGACGGTGAGTGACACCTCGCCACAGATCACCAACATTGAGTTCTCAGATCAGGCTCGGGACCAAACGGTGTTGGCCGGCTCGTCGGTGAAAGTCAACTCGGTGAAGCAGACATTGAATGCCGACATGGGATATGTGTTCGTAGCTGACGTTCGCCGTGGTAAGATCGGAAAACCATCCATGCGAAACAGCTCATATCCTGTGCTAGATGTCCCGATTCCACGTGGTCAGATCCGAATTGAAGCCTAAAGGCCCTCAGGGCTCGTCCCTTGCCCCTGTCTATAGCAGCAATGTCCGTTTCTCGGCGGGACAGGGCTCCCTTCGCCTGCCTAGGCCCTGTGCATGCCAAGCCCTCACTGGACACGGGTAGTCCCCGACTCCTCTCCGCCGATAGGAAGGAACGGAGCAAAAAGCAAAAGACATGGTCGATAAGATTCTCGCCGCCAAGAACCGATCACCAATTCCACGAACCTTTCTTGAGTGAGGACTTGGACGTGGACGAGATTGGAGGAAATCTGACCTGGACGGAGCCGCTTGTTTAGTAGTAGTAGTAGTAGTAGTAGTAGTCGTCGTAGTAGTAGTAGGAGTAGGAGTAGGAGTAGGAGTAGGAGCTGGAGTAAGAGTAGTAGTAGTAGTAGTAGTAGTAGTAGTAGTAGTAGTAGTAGTAGGAGTAGGAGTAGGAGTAGGAGTAGGAGTAGGAGTAGGAGGTGGAGTAAGAGTAGGAGTAGGAGTAGGAGTAGTAGGAGTAGCAGCAGTAGTAGTAGTAGTAGTAGTAGTAGTAGTAGTAGTGGTAGTGGTAGCAGCAGTAGTAGTAGATGTAGTAGTAGTAGTAGTAGTAGTCGTAGTCGTAGTCGTAGTCGTAGTCGTAGTCGTAGTCGTAGTCGTAGTCGTAGTCGTAGTCGTAGTAACAGCAGCAGGAGTAGTAGTAGTAGTAGTAGTAGTAGTAGTAGTAGTAGCAGTAGTAGTGTTGGAGGATATCAAAATCTTCCGGACCGGCATGGATGGTGCCAAAGAGCACGAGAGCACGAACAAGAACCAGAGAAATAACAATAATAACAGGACCAAATCAAAACTACCACCACCAACGACAACAGCAAAAACGAAAGACAGCAAGAACCGTAATCGCCCGGTAGCTGTGTAGCTCTTGCTCAACAGGAACAGCACTTACGAGTGCACCAATGTTGATGGTCGTGCAATTACCATGAACCGTATCTGCACGCTAGGCCTGCAAATTGGACCTTGGTCACACACTACTACATCTACTTCGCCAAGGAGGACCTGACTGCCGTGGGGATAGTGCTAGCTGCTAGCTTTCCTTGCCAAGCAGTTTTGGCAGCTAAGGAGCCTCCGGTTTGGAGCCCATAAGGAGAAGACGCGTTTGCAGGACACATCCAGTACTCGGCGGCTGGCGAGCGTTGCCTCCTCGGGTTGTTAGAGCTCCCGCGACGCGGAGTCTGGAAGTTGCTGCAAGCTTGCTCTTTTGTCGTCGGCGGAGCAGAAGCAGCAGCAGACTCGTTGCTAGCGTTTCGAAGTTGCCGAACCCTGATTGTTCTTGCCATTCCCATCTATCATTCTCAATATGCTATAATTAACCCTGACGCATTTTTGGTGGAGTTGGGCTGAAAGAAGCATGGCAATCTCGCCCAGGTGGGAGATGGCATCAATGCCAGCGACATCTCGGGTGGCTGCTCCAATGCCACGAACGGCTCCAATCTGCCACAGACTGAGCTGAGGTAAGGCTCGCAGGCTACAGCCACGGGCACCAAAGGAGGTACGGCCAGAAGGGGCACACATGCGTTTCTTCTTAAGCGCGAGGTCTGGTTGCCAATTTGATGAAGACACGTCCACATCAACAACTTCCAGTTCAATCTCGTCGACAACAACGGCCATAACACAGACTTCTACGACATCTTCCACACAGCATCTCGCCATGACGGGTTTGCTGCATAGGAACCCGCCCGACCCGAGAGCAAGTTGGTTCGAGACCTAGTCTGGCAGCCTAACCCCATCACGTTTGAATGCCGCGCAATATCAGGACGGCCAGGGAACCACCTCTTCTCAGGCTGTCTTCGGTGTTGGGTTTCGTGCAGTAACCCCTTTGAAGCTGGAAGCTTTGTCTGTGATGGACTCAGATGTCCTCCGCAACATGCCTCGACCACATCCCGGAAATCCCAAAGCCTTGACCAAATCGACACTCCAGCAAGGACGCAGACTGCGACCTCAACAACTTCCACCACCACAACAGGACCGAGCCAGCACCTCTCCTTGGCGTCACCCGATTCCTGAGGCAAAAGCGGTGGAAGGCAGACACTGTGCAGCCTGCTTCAGGATTCACCGCCTTGACACGGTCAGCTCAAGAGCACCCCTTTGTCGACCTGAACCTGTATGCCACGGTCCTTTGGCACTGCTGAGGTGACACGTAAATGTTCGAGATAGAACTGTGCTTTTTGCTGCTGGGGACACAGAAGGAGTGTTTCGATGTTTTCAGCTTATCATGCGTTTGTGCCTTAAGAGTCAGCCAGCATACCTCTTCCGTTTCAGTCACTAGAGATTTTCCGAAGGGGGTCAGCTGCCGCCGACCATCATACCAGAAGCGCATTTTTGAAGAATCCAGAATGCTTTAGCGTGTGTGGCCGCTGCCATGTAAAGGCAGCCTGCGCGTGCCTGCAAGCTGAGGAGAAATTGCCGGCGCGCTGTGCCGTGGCGGCCTCAAAGCGCCTGAGGTTTGAGCCCTGCTCTCCCTTGGTGCAGGAAGTCTAGGGGTACAGGCCGCAGACAGGTCCTGGAAAACGCAAGCGACACATATGACATGACATCGACAGGACCCGGAAGCAGCGAGTTCCCAAGGCTCAGATTTCGATCGTCGGCACCAATGCAGACCCCTACCTCCCAGACGACAATATCACACTGTCCACCCCTCGGTTTCTGCTCGTGGGTTTACGCTTTTGAGTGCCGGATGGGGAGAAGTTCAGTTTCAGCCACCACTGGTATCGTTGAGGTTTCGACTTCCGGCTGCAGCATTCCACCCTAAGCTTCAAGCCCCACCCGAGCCCTAGGCTCGCGAGAGCCCAAGAAGCTGAGAGTTCCCAGCTAGGACAGCTAGGACTAGGATTTCGGGACTTCTCAATGGAAGGAGAGGCAAACTAGAAGAGTGGTGGGAGAGACAGCAAGGCATGAAGACGCGTTTGATCGAGAGCCATTACTGCAGCGTTCATCTGTGCTCAACATACACTCCTGTCTACGCAGGTCTGTCACAGTCAAGTGCTGGTGATGTCTTGATGATGTCAGGTCAAATCCCTTGCTGGCGGCCAAGAAGCCCGAAGAGGGACGCCTCGACGGGAGCGGCCAGTGCCATGGCCTGTCTTCGTATGTGGGGGCGCATGGGGCGAAACTACTGTTCAGGGTGACAGACCTGTTCAGAGTCTCTGATGTCTGGGATTCCAGTTCCAAAGCGGGGCACAAGGTTGCGCGACACTACGATTCATGCTGACAAGGCTTCCAAGGGGTTGCTTTGGTGTGCCAATCGCAAGCTTGGCAATCTGGCGATTGTTGGCGAAGCAGTCACGGAGTGGAGCTTTCGGAGTGAAAGTGTTGCAAGACTGGGGAGAGTGATGCCAGCATCATTTTGTCAGCGCCGTGGCCCTAACCGAGGTTCTGCAATCTCGTCCTCAGAAAGACAACGTACATCGAGTTCGACTTCGGCACTGACATGCTGTGGCTGGGCCTTTACCTGTGGAGGCACCGCAAAAGAGTTTTTTCGTATCACATCAACCCGGATCTCCTGAGCCCTTCTCGGACGCTCCGGTATTAGGGTGTGCGCGGACTTCAACCGGGCAGAAATTCGAATCGTAGAGTTCTCGTGTCGACCTCAACACAGAAGCCACATCAGCAGCGCTCAGGATTGAGAGGATAGAAACCAAGGGCCGTGAGACGATCTTCCAGTGGGCCTCCCGCCTGCAACGTCAGAAGTTTGTATTGAAAGCGCCGCACGAGCTATTTTCAGTGGCTTGGTAAGCCATTGATGCTCATCACGAAATCTTGCGTAGAAGGGCTTGAATTTAGTCTGGCTGTTAGCACGGGGACTGATAGCTCTTTCGACAATGCGAATAAGGCAGGGGCATGATAGTCGCGACAATGCGTATGATCGCAGCTGTGACAGTGGTGTTCGTGACTTTATTGTGGTTTGTTTGTGTGCACGCTTTTCTGCTCGTTTGTAGCTTTCTCAGTTTTTATGGTGTTGTGCTTGTGTTGGGTAATGGATCATTGGTCTTGATGAAATTGTAGGAGTCATGATGGTGACCACGTGATGACGATAACGCCAACAGGCAGCGACGATGCCGACGACATAGTGATCACTCTGACTTGACACTGAAGATGGTAGACGTAGAGGCTTGAGGACGATGTTGGTGGCTCTGGCAGTATCTCGTAAGGCCTAAATCAGTTGTCAGTTTGCCACTTCTTTCGAGAAGCCTGTCTTGGTGTGTGCGACAGCTCCTGCTCTAGCAACTAGCTCTCACAGCCCTGGTTCAGGTCTCCAAGTTCAGCTTGAGCTACACTCGCAATGGCTACACCTGGTTCGATCTGCCGCAGGTGTACGAGGCTCGCATGCGGACACCATTGCAAGCAATGCAGTGCAGGAAGCACAGTCGGCTCAAGTTTTCAAGTGTTGTTGTATGAATTCGTTGCGCAGAACAGGGACCCATCAGCCAAAGTCGCAAATCTAAAGCCCGAAATGAATTCAAAAATACCTCAGGCCAACAACGACCGGCTTCCTGGTACGCAGCGATTCGTCGGGTTTCCTTTGAAAATGGTTCCGGACCGGGGATTCGTGGCTTTCGGCTGTTCGGGTGCTTGTTGTAGACTGGAAGGCTCCATGGAAGAAAAGCATGTTGAAGACCCACACAACGGAATACGCAACATCTGGACGTGAGGCAAACCCTCAAGATCCACGTACCTCCACACCTGCTGAAATGCATCGGGGGAACAGGTATTTGGAAACAAGTTTCCTCTCAAACAACAGTCACATGCAGACAGCGCAATGGGCAGAACAGCACGTGGAAGATAACATGTTGAAGTAGCAAGCATCGTTGACGTATGTCAATGTGGAGGAACACGTTCAGGAGCACCAAATACATTATTTGCGGGAGGGATAAATGTCCCGTCTCACTACTTCTTCTTGCACTCGGTCTTACACGAGCTTCGGGCGTCTGCCTTTCAGCTTTGAGTTTCGGGTTGCGCGTTTGTGTTGTGAGTCTTCTGGGGTTATTAGGATCATTTTGGGAAGTATAGGTTCATGGTGGTTCGAGGAAGCAGACGACGCCATTAAGCCTGAGTTTCGGTGGTGTCAAGACCATTTGCAAAAGGAAGGCCTTTGGCGCACGTAGACTTCCTCTGTAACATCGTGCTTGAGATGGCCAAACTGAAAGGTGCTCATGCGTCGTTGCACGCAAGGAATGAGGCAATCCAGCACCCAGGTGGCCGGAACAGAAGCAGCCGGCAGCAATTTCCGAGAACAGTTCCCACGCCCTCAACCTGCCAGAGCACGTAGGCGGGATGTTTTGTCGCGAACTCTAGGATTGGTTTCTCGTTTGGCCTCCGGAACAAGGACAAGGCAAACCCTTTCATTGGCTGTTGTCGCCGCCGTGTTGAGCCCTAAACCCCACGCACAGTTCCTCACGCAAGAACTCCTCACAAACAATTCGCGCTTCGGGCGAAACTGCTGAGGACGACGCTCGTGGAGAACATCATCCTTCCACACTCTTTCTTGGCGATGAAGCTAAGGACTATTGGGGGGTTCAACACAAAAGGGAATTCTCAAGTCTCGTCTGCCGCACGTGCCCACGTGGCTCTTCCATAACACCTAGACCTGAGTTCAGCATGGGGTTACAGCTTCAGGGACAGTTTTGGGTGATTTGGCCCTGTGGGTTGTTTAAACACAGCTTTGGAACGAATGCTGGACCTTGAAATCTAGATCCAAGTCCCATAGTAAGCTTGCACAAGGACTCTTCGTGGCCGTGCAAGGGTGACAGTCTTTCTTTTCAAGAGAGAAGTTTATGCTCGGAAACTGGAGAGCGCGGACGAGAGAACACTGTGTGAGTTTCATCTTCGAAGGGGCAGCGGGCATATGCTACAACAACCCAATAGAAGTCGAAGGCCGCCTGAATTGTTTCAGGGAGTGGGCTGCAAGTCTCCTCGAGGGCAGTGGGGGCGGGCAACCCAAGTCCCCAACTGAATCCTGGTTGGCAATGTTTCTCCCAAGGCCAATAGAACAGAGCTTTCCGCTTGACTGCTTCCAAATCAAAGTCTCGGCCCTAAAGCTGCGGCAGGCTGAACCAACTCGAGTACTTCTCATTCCCGTGCATGCGAGCCCGGGCCAGAGCTGGAGTGCAGCAGAAAAAGAAGCAGTAGGAGTGGTCATGGTACAAGAAAGTAGTAGTTGTAGTAGTAGTCGTCGTCGTAGTAGTAGCAGCAGTCGTAGTCGCAGTAGCAGTCGTAGTGGTAGTGGTAGTGGCAGAGCGGTAGTGGCAGAGAGGCAGTGGCAGTTCAGTGCCAGCGGTAGTGGTAATGGCGAGGAAGTGGAGGTGAAGGTGGTGGTGGTGGTGGTGGTGGTGGTGGCGGTGGTGTTGTGGTGGTGGTGGTGGTGGTGGTGGTGGTGGTGGTGGTTGCGGTTGCTGTTCTTGTTGTTGTTGTTGTTGTTGTTGTTGTTGTTGTTGTTGTTGTTGTTGGTGCTGCTGCTGCTG